CCCCCCCCCCCCCCCCCCCCAAATTGATGTGAAACTTGTTTTATACCTCCAGCTTGTATAGTTTCATTCCTTGTGTATCGGCAGATTCGGCTGCACGTAGAAATAGGAATGTCTTGTACCTGTTATTTTAACAGTCTAGCACATGTAATTGATCTTTATTCCAGGTGCTGATACTCTTACTGTCATTGGAAATGCACTCCATTCACGCTTCAAAAACTCTCAACCTAAACCTCATGATCAGTATTGGTTTCCAGGCCAACTGTGTATTGTACAGTATCACTCCGATAAGAAGTGGTATCGTGGCAAAGTAGTCGGGGTTAGTATTAAGTTAAATATTTTGTAATACTATTATTGGTGTATGGATTTAGAGATGCATCATTGTCTATGGATGTTTACACCTGTGTAAAATTCATAATCTAACATGAGACAAGATGAGATAAAAATGTCAGACTTTAAAGGTGTGTGATGTTGAGCTTTAGGGTAAGAAAACATATGAGAGTTTATTATTGATGGCAGAGAAGCTTGGAAGATGCAATAAATGATAAATAAATTAAGATACTGAATGGTGTGAGGGTGTACACTCCAATCATTTACTATGCTCACCAGGTCTTGACTACAACGAAGGAAATTCTGTTTTCCAAAGCCCACTCTGACCGATGATTTGTAGTGACTGGCAACCAGCATTGGTTAGTGTTTGTATTCCACGAACCATAGAAAATCTTGTTATGTCATTGACATATGGTGATACAGAGACAGGCTGACTTTATTTGACATCCCACTGGTAGTGAAAGTCATAGTTAACCCTGAAGAATCCAACAGTGAATGACAAATGCCCTTCCCCTGGAACCATCCAGAACGATGCTGTCATTGATGATATAAAAGAGAGATTGGACTCATTTCCTGATTCTCCTCTGTTAAACAAATCTGGCAAGGAAAATATTGAACTGTCCATTTCAAATATTGCTGCAGAAACTCTTTACTGAGTTACATCAGAGATGAGGAAAAGAATGAATGCATGCATCGCTGAACGCGGCAGACGCTTAATGCAACGCTTTTGTTTTTAAATTTGATTAAATGTATTTTTTGACAATTAGAACGTGTGTCAGGAATGGGTTGCATGACTTTTCAGTCACTCTGTCTGTATATGGGGAAAAGGGACAGGCAGTTCACTAAAATGTGCCTGATTTTGATTCTGCTTGTTTATTTGGGATTTTCTCTCTGAGACTCTACAGATTTTGTCAGCTGTCAGTTTGTAACATGTTTTTGTTTACTGTAGAATTTTTTTTGTTTGTGTGCAGGTGAATGAAAACCGAACGGTTAAAGTTATGTTTGTCGACTATGGTAATACTGAAGAATGCAAAGCGTCAGAAATGCGTAAGAATGTGTATATGGGTCATATTCCAGTTCAGTGTTATAAATGCAAGTTAGAGGGAATTAAGCCGGTAAGTAGAAATACATATTGACTGATATATCGTTGTGTATTTGGAAATGTTACGTACTACACATCAACAATATTTTTTCTGTGGTAGTAATAACTTGTCTTTTCCTTCTGCTGCCTTTTTCATGGCCCTGTAGTTTTAGTAACCAGCTGTGAGGCTTCCATTTCTCAAAAATACATGTTATTGCATTGCTGTATGTTAATATAGTCAGTATTTTTGTCATTAAAGAAATGGCTGATTAGCCTTACCATCTCTTTGCATAAGTACATAGAAGAGGGGCATATTTTTCCTTCAGTTTTGTTTTATGGGAAATCTTATTTCCCATAAAACATAGCTATTGTATTCCTTTGAAGAATTTGGTAACCCACATAAATTCTGTTCTGAGAAAACAGTTTGAATCAAGTACTATAAATTTGTATGAAATTATTATTTTGAAAATTTGCATCATAATTTTCAAAATACTCTGAATATGTTATTAAAATTACTTAAAGAACATTAGTTGAGTTTTAGAATTTGATATCTTCTCCAGGACTGTCGAGTGTGGTTTGCATATTTTTAAATGTTGTTAATTACATTCCTTTTTGAAAAGTGTTTTTGTCTCTTCTATGAAGTGTAAGTGAGACTAAACAGTAACTTCAGATGTTACACTGTAGCAAACTTTTACAAGATCTTTCACACTTTATTCCAAGTCATCCATGTAGATTGTATCGTCCGTGCAAGGCACGGAAGCTGTGATGCACTTTTCTCAGTCCATGTAATGTGTTCTGTCATGAAAATGTGAATTATATTCGGAGTGATTGTACAGGTACAATGATTTCATATCCTTTTCCTTTGCTTGGTCAGTGAAACAATGTCCAGAATATTTGGCCCTGCAGGGTGGTAAAAGTTAATACTGTTTGATGTCATGTTGCTTGCTGAGCCATTTTTAGAAAATTGTTGAAGAATTGGTTACATTGAGTTGATATGATTTAATTAAATTTACCTGAAAATGCATATTTTATCAAATCTGTCAAGCAGTTTCAGAAGTAAAACATATTGACACATGCATCCTCATCGTCATCCATTTTGAAGAATTGATGCCTGTGACAGACCTAATTTTGATGCTTTGCTTGAGATTTGTTATGCCATTTTGAAGAATTGATGCCTGTGACAGATGAAATTGTGATGCTTTGCTTGAGATTTGTTATGCTGTTGAGTTCATAGATAGGAAATACGTATGCCAGATCAGTTGGTGGCTGTGATCAGCCTCGTTGCATTCTATGACTGATAAAAGGCACACTTGATTTCTTGTCAGAGAGTCTGAACTGCATGAAACTTCAAACTATGTGATGTGTTCTGAAGTGTGTGTATGTCCGTGTGCAAACATATAACAGTAGTAAGATTTTAGGTTTCCTTGCCAATCCATATGCAATATTAGAGTTTTTTTTCTTTCTGGTTGTGATGCTGGGTAATAATTTGTTTATGTACAGAAAGAATTCTGAGTCAGGTCAGTGGATAAAAAAGGTTGATTGTGTTTGGTGAAGATTAAGAGCTATGTCTGAAAAATTTTGTTTTTATGTTACAATGAAATAAATGTTGATAACATCAACATCTATTACAGGCTTCAGAGGATGGCAAATGGCCTGTGTCAACGTTGGACTTCATCCATGTAACCATTGTAGAAAAACAGTGCCATGTCACTGTGAAGCAGGAACCCAGAATAGGTCAGCCTCTTCTGGTAAGTGAAATATCAGTACAGCATGCGATTTAATTTGTTTCCCTTCCTCTCTTAGCTTCCAGAAATTGTCTGCTTTAATTTCATTTGTACACCTCGATTTGACGATTCCTGGCGCTGCTTGTGACATAGGAAGACTCAGCTTCAGTGTGGGAATATAGCACTGTTATCAGCTTTTGCACTCCAAACACTGAAGCAAGCAGATGTGAGCTTGCAATAGTCAAAGTACAAGCCAGTGTATGTCTAGCCGTGGTGTCTAATGGAAGGTGATTCACTCGCAGGCAGAGCTGCTGATAACGCCCTTGGCATATGCATTACTGTTGGTCGTTGCTGTTCTGAGGTGAACGGCTGTGAGCGGTCATTCAAAGGGTCATCAGACCACGGTGGAGCCATAGTTTTGTCTGATTCTCCATCTCTGGTCTCGGTAGATGACCATAACCAGAAGTGTTACAGTGCAAACACCTCGCAAATAGTCTGTGCATAAAGCAATTGCCGTGTGGTATTATGTTGGGCAGTGGGAATTATATTCACATGATCGTCGTAATAAATGAGCAGTTTCATTATTTCGACGCAGTTTATTTTAACAAGAACAGATTTACATTTCAGTATAGCAGTTAAGTCAATTGATGTTTCGTCTCACGCTCCACTAATAGATCAGGAAATTCCGTTACTTCTCATGTCAGTTCCAAATGGTTTATAGTGAATACTGTCGAAGGAAGAAAGTTGTGTCCTTGTTGTTGTGTACTGGGAGTTATAATAAAGTAATGAAGATTGTGATATCTATGTAACACATAGTGGGATAATAAGCATACCATGTTAACACTTTGCTCAGGCAGCAATAGTTAATACATTATTTACAGAATGAGGTGGTAATTCAGGCAAATATTCTGTCAATTTTTCTCTGTGCTCAGATATATGTCCTGTCTAGCAAGTGGGGTGTGATCATACCAGATAACAGACCAATGGACATTCAGACTTTGGTACCCTTTCTGAGGAAGTATAAAGTGTAAATCTATAACCCTCTTTTTTTAATTTTCAGTGCTTGCATTCAGTTTTTTGACAATATTTTATTTATACTTCTTAGTGGCTCCATTGTTTTGCTTGTGCAGTATGATATTTGTATAAAATGTCTTGTTTCTGTTGCAGATTTCTTTGATTGGGCCTGGTGGTATAAATATCACAGAACTCCTTGTGAGCATGCAATTTGCGATATACACCAGTCCACCTGAAATTTACGTGAAACCTGACTCTGAAACTGGTACGTTAGATGAAGAGACAAGCGTTATCATTGAAGATGAGGAAGAGACTGAAGATCATGTTGAAGATGAAGAGGCTGAAGTTATTATTGAAGATGAGCAAGAGACTGAAAACATTGTTTTTGGTGAGGAAGAAATTCAAGATGAAGTTGAATACGAAGAAACTGAAGTTTCAAATGGAGAGGCTGGAAACAATGAAAGGAATATTAGTGATATGAAATCCCCAGAATTAGACGTGTCTGTACAGTGGAATGATCTCATAGATCAAGAAGAAGGAAAACAGGTATTTTTATTCTTTCCATCTGTCCTTTGTTACATGTAAGTGTAAGTATTTCAGATCTAAAATACAGCGATTCCAGTTATTTGGGCCACCGGTTAATCGGGGCAGCCGTTTATTTGGGACAAATCTTGAAGAACAAACCTTTTAAACTCTTTACGTGCAACTTCACATAATTGGGGCAGCCGCTTAATTGGGCCAAAGTCTAGTCTAGTCCCGATGTGTCCCAATTAACTGGAATCCACTGTATTGTAATTAATTTCAAGTGTTGTATTCTTTAAGATTTTGCTGCATAGTGAAATGGAAGTTTGTTTTAACTAGTTCATCTTCTGCCACTTAATGGTTCTGCATTATTGGTTTTCATTTTTCCACGTTGCTGGAATAGAAGACAGTATTTGAGAATGATTATAAAGTATAGTATGCTGCACTCTGAAGCAATTTCGTGTTAGAACCCAAGGAATCCATTGAGTTCATTTGTTAGCTTTAACAGTAGCCTCCAGAATTTCATACAGTTGATGTTATATTCAGAGCAGTTATTCTTAAGTGCAGCCATCAGCTATCATGATTATATAAAATGTATGAAGTAACCAGATTTAAGATATTATGTTGCATTCCAGTCTAGAGAGCTCTTTCTTCCTTGTGAGCCAGACATTCTCAGCACCTAATTACAGGGTAATTGAAGAACCACTTTTTACTTTTAATGTTGTTGTTGTTTCTTGGCTCTGCAACCCAGTTGTGGGTTTTCGCCGCCTCCTTTTCGGAGGTTTCCTAGTCTTTGAAGTGTGCATTTGTGAGTAGTGAGTAGAGCCATCTAGTAGTGAATCGGGAGAGACTTTGGTGGGAAATGGCCACTGAATTTTGCTTAACAAAATATCTCATTCTTGCTCGCAAGGTTCTTTTACATGCCATAATACGACGTGAGACCGCCGGCTTTACTTCCCTTCCGAAGGAAGTTGTGCTACGGATTTTTATCGCCCCTAAAAATCCATCGACCTCGGCCGGGTTTGAACCTGCAAACCTTGGGTCCATTGGTGGGCACACTAATCACTAGTCCGCCGATGGCAACACTTTTAAGTTTAATATCTCATGTAATTTGAAGCATATGGTCTGTTGTGAAATGTTCGGCATCTCACATATATTTCATTCCTTGCTTAATGCTGTTTGTACAATAGAATCTGCTCAGGAAAATACCCAGTGTGTCACACGGTTGTAAATGTTCAACTCATTTCGGTCTTAAGGTTTGCTCTCTGAATGCTAGGTTTTGTAATTGATAGACTGTAAGAAGTGGATGAGTAACTTGGCTTCCAAGAAGTTCAGAAATTATGCCACTGAATTCTTTCATATGGGGATATGTAAGAAATGTTGTCTTTGCGGAGATTGTCTGTGGTTTACCTCACCTGTGAGAGAGAATTTGTGCTTCTATAGTGACTGTCACTCCAGACATGCTTCATTGTACCTGGGATGAAATCAAATATGAATTGACTGTCTACAGGACTACAAACTTTGCTCATATTGAGACTGTTATGAATTTTATAGGAAACTTGAAATTTTTGGAAGGTATTAAAAATATTTATATTTTTTTTAGTTCATATTTCATGAGTTATTGATATTGAATCTTGAATATAGGGAGTTGTAATGCCATAGTACTGACTGTGTTAGGAACACAATTCTACACGTGCACATTCACAGCAGATAAGGCATGAAAAAACTGTGAGCTGCTTAACATTTCACAACAAACCCCATGAGTCTTAAATTAGGTGAGATATTAAACATTAACCTTAGGAAGGTTTTTATTTCAATGATTCTGTATTTACACATGCAGAGTTAATTATATTTGAACATTCAAAATAAAATCTTTTTATTAAACTGCTTGTGGTCACAGAAAATATTTTTGTTCATGATGCATTGACAACAGAAGTTTGTTTGAAAATGACTTGTTATGCATTCGTGTGTGGAAGGCCATATGTAGAATTTGATATGTCATGGGTGCCCTCTTCAGGGCATTTTCATGATTTTCCTCACTTCTTATTAGAATGCAGTGACTTGTAGCCAACATCCACTTAGAAATACAAATTCCATTTAATTATTACATGAAATCTTAAATGACCCTAGTTACCGGTAGAGATCTTTTCAGATGATTGAGATTGGGTGTCAGTGTTTGTATGTATGAAGTCTAAATATTAAATATGTCATGTTAATTTTATTTCAATAGGTTCCCAAGAAATCTACAGGAAAGGATCTATGTTATAAGCATTTGAAGTTACCAGACAGTGATTCCATTGCTGTGGAGGTGACAGCCATTTTGTCTGCTACTGAAATGATTATACATCCTTGCAAAGTAAAGGGCTCTGAGGTAATCCACATTTGTTCACATGTACACACTGTAAGTTAGAATGTAAAACGATAAACCATTTATCAGTCACGGATATTCTCACAATTTGTGTACCGGCCACACAGAGGCACTGTTCGCAATGTCTTGGTTTTTTTGGACATTGAAGTTTGTGTATGGTCAAGCTGGTATACATAATTTCATTTTATTTTCTCATGCTGGCCTGTTGTGTAATGTTACTTGTTCGTCTTTGTGAAACCTTGTTTAAAGACACGTAAATCATTATTATGATGTAGAATGAAAGCAAACATGTCGTCTTTGTCTCAACTGTAAAAACAATATTAGTGGACAGTTTATCGACTCTCCTAGTGAGATAATAACAGTGAATACTGTAGTGACAATTCCAATGATAAGTTCGGTGAGACTGATATAACTGAGCCCAGAGAGAGACATGAACAAGTGAGGAAATCTGTGCATACCATAACACTTTTAGCATGTTCACTGTTACTGCCTCTACTTTAGGAGTCCCCCCCCCCTTTTCCAAGATGTATGCTTATTTTTTATTATTATTTGTACAGTGTTAAAGTAGGTAATTATATAATCTGTAATTTGATATAATTCCAAAGAACAGACTGATAAATTGTATTTATTATTTGATGGTACTTTCACCATCATTAGCCTTGTAAGAGATCTCAAATATAAATGTTAATATCAGAACTAGAGAAAGCAAGATAACCTTTATCAGCCGTGTGTCATGACATCTGTGCACTTTATCTGGCCTTGTGTTGCTGTAGCATACCACCAAGCCATTCAAGCCCAATATTAAGTTTGGCCATCAGCCCTGTAATACAAAGGTTTGAATTCCCTTGTCTGTTAATATTAACCTAATAAGGCCTTTCTTTACACATATTCTTTGAAAAGTCGATTGTATACTCGGCTTGTCAAAGAATAGCTCACTTTCTTTATGGAACCTGAAGGTTCATCACCATGATCACAGAATTCCTATCTCCCTAAGGTCCATCTTAACTTTATCCTGTGTCCTACACCTCAGTCTTCCCAGCATTCTCCTCCCTTCAGGCCTTCTAACCAGTAGCTTCTAAACACCTGTCCCCTCCCTATGCATGCCACATGCCCCGCCCTCCTCGATTTAATCACCCTGACAATATTAGGTGAGGAGTACATGCCGTGAAGACTTCCTTCCTGCTCTTAATTTAATATCCTGCCTCCATTTCCCATTTGCTTTAAATGTAACTACAAAAGTATCAAAACCAATCTTTCCATTTTATCCATGGTCGCCCTTTTCCTCTCCTTCTCAAACATTGCACCATTTTATTTTCCATTATTAACTAATTTTGTTCACAATCATGAGGCCAAAAAATGTGTGTCCTATCCTCCATAATCACTGTTAAAATTCAGAAGTGTTTCTTGCCTACCCTTACTTATCAAAAATGTGCGTTTAAAAGAAAGTAACAATGACACATTTAAAGACGTGACGCACAGAAATAACTCCTGGTGTTAATTTTAATGCTTTTGCTTTATAGCTGCTGAAAATGAAGGAGGAATTTGAGAGACTTTCAGAGAATTTGCAAGAACATGCACAATCTCAGCCATTAGTCAGCAAGCCATATATAGGTATGTTGATATTGAATTCTGGAACTAATATAAAACAGTAAAATCTTAATTTTGTTCAGTTCATGATCTTTTTGTCATCTTGTCTCCTGTCTTCCCCATATAACATTTTATAACATACTCAGTTCTTATGGTGATTTGCTGTCCCACCCAACCCCCAAGCTGCAGGGTCACCCTCATGTAGGCTTATTACATGCACTTTGGCTCCATATCTGCATTCTTCTCCTCTGCACAGCCTGAAGGAACTTTGCCAATAAAATATAAATGGAAGGACAATCTCCTTGTAGAATCCTGTGATGTTTTGAATAGGTGGAAGAATTATTTTTATCAGATACAGAATCTACGTATGTTAAGCAAACTGAAATGTATTCAGCTTACCCACTACTGCCTGAGCCTAGTTCTTTTAAAGTTGAGTGAGATCGCTGCTTAAAGTTGGAAAGGTATATATATATCGCTGGGTATTGATCAGATTCCAGCATAATTTATCCAAGCAGGAGGTAATAATATTTGCATGTTGAGACCCACAGACTTATTAATTCTGTTTGGAATAAGGAAGAATTGACAGATAATTGGGTGAAATTTATTATTGTATCTATTTGTAAGAAGAGTGATAAAACAACCAGTAATTGCCCAAAAATATCACTTTTATCAGGTACGTACAGAATTTTGTCCAACAAGTAATGGATCAAATAATAAGATATTCAATACTCATTAATTAAGGGGACGTAGAAGTACAATGAGACAGTACATCACCTATTTACAGACTTAAAATTTTTTTGATTTGAAGCCCTCGCAGTGACATAACTCAATAAAAGCTTCTCGCAAGGCTGATCGCCTGAGAAGATTTTGTCGAGTTGTCACCGTGAAGGTTTCAAATAAAATATCACCAACCTTTACAGGAAGAGAAGTATTATACTTGGATTGACATACCTGTCAAACTACTAGACACATAAGTTATCTTGAGAGTTGCCTTCCTAGAGCCCACTTGATCTGTCAGGACATGTCACGGTTGTGCAAGCAGGCATTTGCTGGCCATTAGGAAAACATTGGTAGAGTATATTGTTGTTATTATTGATCTCCCTCTTCTTATGTACTGTGAATTAGTGTGTTAAACCTGCTTCTGCTGGTGTTAGCCATTGCTGACATGTTTCAGCACAGGCAATGCTGTGAGCAAGCGGTCGAAGGCTCGTAGCAGAACAGATATTTCCTTTCACTCTGGTACAGAAACCTTCTTCCATTCCAACCCTCCTCCCCACTCATCCCTCATTTGGTTATCAAGATAGCCTGCCTTTACGATAGTTAGGTCATTTCAAGTATGCTTTATACTGGAGCATACCATTGTGTCTATGTTGACATTGGGCAGTATTTTTATGAACCATTACTTGTGCTGCAGGACAGCCGTGTTGCGCTCGGTACACTGCAGATGATCAGTGGTACAGGGCTGTTGTTCTTGCCGTAGAATTCAAAGGGACTGAACAGAAATTTCTGAAAATCCAGTTTGTGGATTATGGAAATGTAGAATACCAACCCATTGATAAGTGAGTATTGTATATTTCTTGTCAATTTTCATCTTTTCGATAGACCTTAACCTTTGAAATAATATGATTGCTGGTTGCATGGTCATGATCTTGCCATGTTAAGATGTCATGTATTTGGTTACTGTATCTTGTATGTCTAGACCCCATGGCAACTATAAAGTGTGTACACAGCACAATGGAAGCTTCCACCATTGTAATTATTGGTTGTAACTGTTCATGTAATTAAAAATAACAGAAATGTTGAAGGCCTACATACAACTGGTTAGCAGCAAGAATGGTACATAGAACAAAAGATTTTTCATTTGCATTATTTCTGAAATGAAATGTGGCTCTGAACATTGCCAGTATTAATATAACATTCAGGTATTTGTTTGGCTGCACTGAGGAAATCCATGAAAATTTCAGTCACGATAGCCAGTCTCTGGGCTGAGATTTGAACCACGGACCTTTTGAACATGAAGTAGGAATGTGACACTTGGCGCTCGTCAGTATCGTTTTGAGACGTTGAGCATCCGAGAGCATAAGAGAAAAGGCTGGCCTAAGGGCCAAGAGAAGTCTTTTTCTTGAAGAGAATTTTCTTTTGTCCTTCTAGGGTGCAAATAAGAGGCTTCCATGTCTTGCTCAGGGAGAATTTTTGGCGTACAGTCGAAGTACTGCATGCCACAATAACAACATGACCACCATCCACATTCATGTCGCCATGAAAACCTCAGGCCCCACATAACTAAACATAATTTAAACAGAGTGAATTTATGTTGTGTATTCACTTGCCATTCTTTTACTGTAATACACTGACTGACTATGAATATTTCATAAGCAAGCTTTGAGATGCCTGTAATTGCAAACCAAGAATACATTCTTAAAATTTTAAAATCTAGAGTACATGTACTGAAGCCCGAGTGGACTGCCGTGCCAGTGCAGGGTCTTCGTTGTCAGATGTGGCATATTCAGACACCACATGATTGTGATCCAGAAGTGCTGTTCCCCAAGCTGATGGAATTTCTCTTTGATCCACCACTATTAGCCAGGATAAAGGTAATGATTGTTCACTTTCACATTGTGTTGGCAACATGGAACAGATAAGTTGCTAAACATCCTATATTTTTTATCGCAAGTAAGTTTTGCAAGGTGTTCCTGAAAAATGAAGGTCCATTTTCTTATTCATCTCCCCACCCCAAATAACTCCATGAGGGAGAGGCTTTCTAGAGAGGATGGTATTCACCTAGCTGGTCTGTTTTAATTTTATCAACTATTTTGTCTGTCATGGTGTTCAGCAAGTGCACTTCCTTTTCTCAATTCACTGCTTGTTTCAAATTATTCTGGTAGTTTTTATCTTCTAGGGATTGAAAAAATCTTTTTTCTATCTTCATTCTGTTGTGTCTTTTCAAACTTTATAAATAAAGGTGTCAGATATGTCTCACTGTGAAGGTCAGATTTGTCTAAACAAAATGCATGCTTCTCCTCACTGATTGACATTTGTACTGTGCATTATATTTAGTAAAATGAACATACAGGATGGGGGAAGGCCTTCTGAAAAGGTTCATGAGAAAATGTTTCTCGAGCACAAGAACTTTGCAGTGGAACAGGTGAGCTGCCGAACACCAATATTAGTGGAGTGATCCTAGGCCAGGGGTAGGCAGGCTATGGTATATGGGTCTGATGTGGCCTGTGAAGGAATTCAGTCTGTCCTGCACCATTTGGATTTTAATAACAAGACCTTTGTAACTCACAATACAAGAAAATCAAATGGGGTAACTACAGATATGGTTAATTTTGTGAGAATCCCAGTCTGAGTTCAGGATATCTTGTCCATAGTATTTATTATTAATGCAGTTTTTAAGTACAGTACTTTTCTTGTGAGGCCCCATGGTCACTTAAAAATAGCACCATCTGGCCTTCCATGTAAAAATAATTGCCAACTCTTGTCCAAAGCAGACCATTCGTTATCAGGAAAGAGGAGTCAAAATTTTGCATGCAACACATCTGCACAGTAAAAAGTATCCACTTTTTTCTTTTTGTAGACTCGACAGCCATCATTAGAAGTGGAATTGTTCACAATTGATGGATCTGCATTAATACTGCAGCCTCTAGTGGATGCAGGCCTGCTCATAGCAGAAGAGGAGAAGAAGTGTGCCCTGTAGTGCACTACCTTATACTTTTTGCATTTCTGTAAAGTTAAAAATGAAGAGATGTGTACCACTGCCCCATCACACATCATTCAACTCCATGTTTTGCTAAAGTGTGACGCATTTATGTGGTATTTGGCCAAAACATAATAACTGCAAAATTACAACTTTCCAGGAGTATTTTTAAAGTTTCAGTGATTATGACAAATCAGATATTTGTATTACACAAATGAAAGAGCAACCAAGATTCAGTCAATACTCATACTTGTCTCAAAATGGCCATTTTTCAGTAATGAGGTTTTGACCGAACACCACAGAATTAAAAGTACAATAGGGGGCAGCAGGAAAAATACCACAAATTAATCTTACTGAATTTTGATAATGTTAATTTCATGTTAAGTTACACATAATTCCAGATTATTTCTGTTTGTGCCCTAAAAATTTCATTGACAAACTTTGTGTCATGATTAAATTAATAGGTTTTATTTCATTCTTTGTTAATTTTTAATTATTATGTCACACAAAGCATTGAAAGTACAAGGGCTAAGATCAGTTTTGAACATGCAACAAAATATTTTTCTGTTACGTATTAACGCTGCGTGCTCTTGGCAATTTGTTCTTTCAGGACAAGGATACTCTGACGTTGTTCAGGTGGTAGCATTGCAATCTGTTCATCTGATAACTGCAAGACTTGCATGATGAGTGCAGCCTGAAAAGAAAATATTTTTGTGATTAATGTCTTATCTGGAATTAAAAACTCCAGATAAGACTAAGACAACATACATATATTAATTCCTTTACTAGGTAGTCTATGTAAATTACATGAGAAAGAACAGGACACTGAAGAAACAAATGTACAAGCATTGTAAGCACTACCAATTTCAATGTATTATTTTGGTTCTATAAATATAATTATTTAAAGTAATAATTGGAAAATCTCCCCAGAAATCATGTCTTTCCTTACGCTGAAAGTAAAATAACACACACTTTCTAAAAAGTATTTTCTTTCTTCTCTACTGGTTAATTTGTTTAACAGAAAATGGTTGCTGAGAGACTAGCGCAGTTTCAAATAGCAGGCCTTGATTTTCTTTTTATATTACAAACCAATATGTAGAATACATGTCAAGATTTCTCTTAACATTTTAATTTTAAAGAAAATTATTCATAAGAAAAGGCTACTGTCTTAGTTAATGAAGTTTCATGTGTAAATTTATAAATTTTGTGTTCTTAATGTTCTCTTGGAGTAATGTAAATCTGTAACGACATAATACAATGTAGCATGTAGCTCTGTTTGAGTGCGCTAGACTCATGCAGGTGATCACAAGAGTGGATTCTGGTCAAGTTAGAATTTTTCTTATTCCTTCATGAAGCCACCATATTGTTTTACAATGTACAAAGGATTACCATGTTGAAAGTTGCATATTTCTAAAAGATGTTTCATATATCATTTCATGGCCCTATATTAAGTTGTGTAGTGTCACCACCACATAACCATTAATGGCTAACTTGAAAATAACCACATTTGAAAGCTAAAATAAAGCTTGTTAGGTGGGGACTATCTAATCAGGTTAGCCAAAACCTGAGAAAAGTTGACCAGTAACACAAAACCCTGGAAATTAAAATGAAATGATAAGTGCATCAGAACTAAAACCCTGGAAAAGGTATGAGAACCATTTCTAGCTGAGACTCAAACTGGGCAGTCCTCCCTCCAACAGATACATACAAATCAGGTATGTTGTTATTACGCTAAGTTTCTCGGTAATCTAAGATGTGTTCAGGAAAAAATTCTTTGTGTGGGTTTACCTTTTCTTGATCAGAAGCACCAGCACTTATTGGGGACACGGTTGGACCACCTGCAGGACGCGGACCTAGTGCACCAGGAACTCCAGGCTGCGGTGGGCGAGGAGCCACTACTGGCAAGGGGGCAGCACCTGTGTAATCACAGAGATGGATGAATTCAACCTGGTTCATACTATCCTATTATTTTTCACTCTTTAGAGTGAAAAGAACTTTTTTCAACTGACTGCAGCAACGCCACTGTCACATGTTCCTACAGTGACATTTCCAATTGAAACACGTGTACAATCCACAGATGCACTGGTTGGGATTTGAGCTGAAGATGTGCGCAGTTACAAACAAAACAAAAATGGGTTTTAGGTTTCAGAGATCCAGTCTCCAGTTCTTTTGAATCTGTGCATCTGTTACGTTCCCACCCAACAGTTTCTCCTATAACATGTAGTAAAGCTTGTTGACAGAAATGCTTACCAGTTCGAGGATCAACTCTCTCCCTTGGATCACGTGGCAAAAACCGATCTGCCACTCCCACTCGAGGATCACGGGGAAAGCTGTAAAGTTCAGAAAAACAGTACAAGGTAAGTATTTGCACTGTGTACTTCAAGATTACCATACATTAAGAAATCTAAACATCAGTGTTTAAAACAATATAGAAAATAAACTTTTTATAAGATCCTTACAGTAAAACCACGTTACTTCAATACTCGATAACTCAAAATCGGTAAAATTCCAGTTGTCAGAAGACTGATTTAATCCATCATTTTACTCTATAATTGTTCTTCTAAATCATCGCTTATTTTCAGCTTTATTTAATGTAAGTGTAATTTTGCACAGGTGCTTCACCTACCCTCAAGACAAAATTCTTCATGTTGCAGCTTAAATGGAAACCTAACGTCTAAAGACTGCACTGCTTACCATCTCTTGGCTGTCAGTGACATCATGTAGGTACAACAGATAAATCAGAGTTCTGCAATATCAATCTCGTAGGTGGCTTAGAAATTTTGAAAGCAGAATTCCCTCTCTGACAACAGGGTATGTCGGTGGGTTATCAGCATAATGCCATGGTCAAGTGGTTAGCATATTCAGGAGGTTCTTGGTTCATATCTCAGCCAGGAGACTTGCTATCATGTCAGTTCTTATGGTTTTCCTCAGTCCCCATACACAAATGTTAGGTCAGTGCCTTATATTATTTAATTTATATAATTTCTAAACAGTAAAGAAATAAGATTATATTGTAACGTGCTACATGGCACTCCATAATTATGAGTGACCAACCTTTCAGATGAATCCACAAGTTGCAGGCTGCAACAAACAACACACACTTATGTACAAATAAATAACTACAGTAAATACTTCTGTCTGAACCAAACAAGTCATAATAGAAACTGTGCCAAATTCTTACTGTTCAGGGACAAAATTCTCCCTTGGGTCTCGTGCAGGAGCCTGAGGGGCAGGTACTGGAGGAGCTGGTGGGACTCTCAGATCTTGGTCGCCCATACGAGACAGACGTGGATCCACCGGTCGTAAGTCCACATCGGATGCCACGAATGAAGGAGTTTGGTTTTGTGCCACAGGAGGGACAGGGCCTGTTCTCGGAGCTCCCGGTACTGGGCCGGGTCCTGCCCATCCCTCATCACGCGGCGTGACAACGGCAACTGCAGGAGCTGGCACAGGAGCTGGTGGCAGTACCGGCACCTGAATTTGTACAGGTGGTTTTTCTGCCGGTAGCAGAGGAGTTGGTATTGGATTAGCTTTATGTAGCATATTCTGGAATGAACACATGAGAATACATGTGTATAACAGTAATTGCATATTAGGTCATTAATACATTAACGTGATCTTAGGTCATTGTTGCATTAATGTGTTTCAATGTCATTGCTGAATCAATCGACAAGAAAGAAAGAGAAACAATGGGAATGGCAGTAGCAAGATTTGAAAGGTGCACTCTTTGGAATACCATAAATTCCAAAGGTGTTCTTTACACATCACAAGGTCATTGTTGTGCAAATTTTCCAAGTGACCACGTTTCCCATTGTGCAGCAGTTTTCCAACAATGAGCCCACCACCAGTCATGCAGGTTTCACAGGGGTGTTCAGTCCAGACCTTCTGGCCAAGGAACAAGCGGTGGCACGTGAGACAGCTCTTGCTTGGCCCAGAGGAAGCAAGCACCTTGGAGAAGGGTCTGGGCAGTAAAGCCCAAGAGATCAAAAAATTCCAATTTCAAGGAGGCATTTGGGGGGGGGGGATCCCCTGCTGCTGCTGCCCATCAAATCAAGTAATTTACAATGCGTAGAACAGACCCAAGATATGCATACTGAATTTAGGTGAAGAAAAGTTAAGGAAACCAGACACTTGGGAGAACGATACCTTACAGGCACAGAGCGTTAGAAATTGAACCAGTTCAGGATCATGTCTGCCATGTGTTAAACATTCAGAGTTAGTTCACATACAGAGTTGCGCAAAATAAAGTATACCGAAAGTCATTAATGGAAGTTTTTCCCCCCCCAAGTAATCAAGTGTACACATAGATTATTGAGCATGTCGGTACATTATGTTTTCCAAGTGTCCTCCATTTCAATCCAAGCATTTCTCAAGCCTTAGAGCTATATTTTCTATGACTGCATTCAATGTGTACTTAGAAATCGTAACAATAACATGTTTGATGATCTCTTTCAACTGAAGCACAGTGTAGGGTATTGGATCTCTGTATACATGTTCTTTGAGCATTCCCCAAAGAATTGGTTGCTAAGGTGAGCATGTGGGATACACAAAATTTGTTCCTCTGGAAATGATTTGTTCACCAAAATGGTCTCACAAGCTGTACGACTTGTTGCTCCATCTTGTTGGAAACACTTCATTCACATGCAAATTTTTTGCGTGACAAAATCTCAGTTTGCCGACAAACTTCTTGATATCGCACTTGACTGACGTCACTGTCTGACCACGGCTATCATAAAAAAAATATGGACTGATGCCATGACTGGAGACAGCACACCACACACCTTTCGGTATACTTTATTTTGTGCAACTTTGTATGTGTGTTAGCTCTTCCTACTTCAGTAACCAGTAAAATGAATTACCACAGCGGTATGGGGATCCACAATCCTCATGACAACCTGTGCCTGTAACAGAGCATATGCAAGCTGTGGATTCTGCAACAACATGGCACGAGCTTCGCTGGGATTATTCTGAACACACAATTTCATTTGTTTCATGAGTTCAAACATCTGTTCTGGTGGCAGTGAGGCCACAGCTTTGCTGATTGCCTCGGGCGCTTTGTCAGCTTGCACTGCTTCTCCGTATGGGTTCTCCACAACTGGTCCCTGTAGCAAGCCTGTACAATTCCAAGTAATATTAAATTAAACCAAAACATAAATTTGATATATACATAACTGAAAAGTAAACAGCAAATACTATTTAGATAAGAATATTCTTCAGAGGGTGACCTTGCTTCATGGCACAGTATATTTTTAGAAAATTAAGACAGTATGTAAGTGTACACAGTACCAAAACCCAGAATAATAGCATCATAACTAAAAGTAAAGCTGCAAAACAGTGAGCGATCACCAACTGAAGTGACGAAATCTTTTTATGTGCATAAACTTTAGTTCTGGAATCATGATAGAAGTATTGACATTTAAGACAATGAAAGCCGTGAAATGTGAGTACTCTGTTGTTATTTTTCCTGAACATGCTGTACGGTAGTCAGCAATGGTCTGAGTACTTGACTTTGCTGTTGGTCAGGCCTATACTCTCCACATGCCTGTCCCCACACATCGAATTATATTGTATGATCTGATGCTTTCATGGCAACCAAGTATAATGAATTCTTCTTGGGCTACCAGCTGTCAGGTGGTTTAATGGAGAAAACACCATTTTTAAAACCATCTTCATCCTCAGGGTACCATGAAGATAAGGTGTTTTCTCCATTAAACCACCTGAAATGGCTGGTATCCTGAGAAGAATTCATTATCCCATTATATTACTTTAATTTTTAACAAGATTTCCTGCCTGTCACAGTCATGAGGAATTTAAACACCATCCTGGTTCAAAATGTTAATAGTTTCAGATTGATAGGTAGAGGCACAACATAACCCTCATGCATTAGGTATATGCACTTCTTGCAAAAAGCACATTTTATCCAAGTAATTGCTTACTTTGCATTTCCATGCGGGACTTTTCTGTGCAGGCATTGTCTACACGTAGTGTTCGTCCACCAATTTCATAACCGTTCAGGTTTCGCATTGCACTCAATGCTGTCTCCTGGTCTTTGTACTCGCAAAAACCATAGCCCTTGGGTTTGCCAGTTTCACGATCATACACTAATCTGAAAACGCACAGGATATACAAACCTTTACTACAAACACCATTGTTTAATTGTACACGGCCATTCTCAACATTAATTCTGAGGGTTCTATCAAAAGTACCTTTAAGAGAGTTTGTAAGCAAAATCAAGTCATGTGGAACAAAGTGCAGTTTACTGCAAACCACACATATATAACGTTCATTATGGGTTAACAGGGCAAGATGTCACAGAACAAGCCCATGTTAGGACCAGCCTTCAATAAGTTTGATTATGTTACGTACTTGAATGACAGCACTGGCCCAACTTCACTAAATATATCCTTCAACTTCTCTTCTGTTGCTTCATAAGGAATATTGCCCACTGAAATAACAAAAATGGCAATAATAAATTTAAAGATGTAATCCCTATTTATTATTCATGTACATGCATAACTATTATATGCACGTGTGTGTTTCTATATATACTAATTTTTTCGTTTCATCCTCACCAAAAACTGATCGTAATGACTTATCCATCAAATTCTGATCAGCCATCTTCTTGTCGTTTCTTCAGCCTAAACACAAGAACGTAAACAACTTCCCCAACCTATTTACACCGGGGTTAGAAATCAACTACTATTTACACATTACAACCAACATACAAGCTGAGTATCTGCGCTACCAACGTTTGGCGAAATAATAACACGTAGCTGCGCACAGTGCGCTTGTTGATCGACTTCAACGTATGCAGTCTGTGATTTGTCGGATGTTGCGCCGCGTCCGAGGACATTTACAGACGTTTCGGAGGTGCTTGCTATCTCCATCACCAAGGCGATGATTGAGCCCTTTGCATACAAATCATGAACAACTCTGATGATGAAAACTCTCTTCGGAACGTTGGATTGTAACTATATTCATGGGGCTGTTGGCCCGAGGAAACTTCTGATTTATTGGGCAAGAACATAGATATCATCAAGAAAAGTACAGAAGTGCTAATAAGGCAGTTGATCTAGAAGTAAACGCAGAGAAACTTGAAATATATTTGAACTGTTCCCAGACTGCAGGGAAAAATCATACTTTTTAGATAAGTAATAATTCCTTCGAAATTGTGGTAATGTTCGGAAATGGAAGTTTAGAAAAAAAATCATTCTGACAGTCACAAAAATTTAACATGTTCAGTTCAGAGGATGTTTGGTGAGATGAATTTGATTCTCTCCTGTCTTCTAGCTGAAAACAATACACAAATTTTACCTATCGTTTTTTATTGGGAAATTTGGCCTCTCACATGAACGGGAAATATGCACAAGATTTTCGTCGCAATGTCTGAAAGGAAGATACCACTTGGAAATAGTGGGAGATAATATTAAAATGTAATATAAACAAAATATTTTGGGAGGGTGTATACTAAATAGTTTTATCTGATTCAAGGTGGAAACCGTCGGCTGCTTTTTGTAAACCAGATAATAAACTTTCGGGCTGGAGAATATTTTAAATATGAGTGACTGCTCCGTGGAGTTCCTGAATTTATGTTTCAGATTTCAGATAACACTACTTAACACTGACGATGCTTATATCCTCAAACCGTTCAGTACACCTTAGATGCCACTCAGTTAAAATTTACTTACAAAATTGAAGGAAATAGTGTTGGTAAACCTTGACATTTGGACCATACTTGGTTATGCTGCTACATCTAGAGGGCTGGTTGTCAACTTACTAGAACAAAGAAGAGTCTATGTGGTGTCTTGTTTAGTGGAAAGATGTGTGTGGTGCGTTAAGTGTAGGTAAAAGAAATAGCAGTAAAGGTAGAAGACAATACTGTGATGTGTGTTGTTTATTTCGTTTAAAGAATCTACGTCAGGAATATGTATGGTTATTTTAGTTTATTTATTGTGTTGTATTGCATTTCTGTTCTTCAGGGAAGGTTATAATCCTTTCCTGCACTTTACTGAACTTACGACTGTGTATGTAGCTAAGGATATTGCATAGTACATAAGCGCTATCATATTTTAGTTGCAGCAGTCCTGGACATCGATAACTCTATAGGAAGTACACCTTTGTTATTAACACGTCTAATAAAAGTCATTGTGAAGTAAAACGTATCAACTATGGTATGGTATGTTATAAAGAATGTGAGTTCTTATATTGGAATGGCACCCATTTAGAGTTGGATTGAGATGTCAGGATGTCCCATGGTCTCTCAAGGCTGATGCCGTGATAGTGCCAGATAACTATGCAAGTTGAGTGACAAGTGTCATTGTTTCCACATTTCATTTATTAAAATTTTGAAACAAATTTTCAAGTTGAAATGCACAAAATTGTCAGAACACAGTGATTGACGAATGCAGTCAGAATATGTGTTTTTCACTGGGGCAAGATAATGGTAAGTCCCATTCGCTTATTTAAGTAGATGTCTGTTTCATAAGTGTGAAATGGCAGCTTGTGAAACAGATGAAAGTTCTGAAAATGTAACAAGCAACCAGGAAAACCAAAAAAATAAGACAATTTTTTTATAGAGAGGAATTTGGTAGTGATACAAAGAATATGATTCAGTCGTTTTTGAACTCATATTGGACAAAAGGAGTCAAATGAAATTAATTTAGCAATTATGGATTAATGGCTTGAGAAAATTTTTACAGAAGATTGGAATGCAACAGAACATTATTTAGAAATAAATAGGAAACAGCATCAGAGGAGAAAATAGTGGAGGAACTGCTGAATGAACCAGGATTGGCTGAAAGGACCTGGTACCCATTGGATAGGAGGCTGGGTAGACCCCAAAGCCGGTCTGGACGCAGAGGGTAGTGGAAAAATCCTCTGCCTCTGTTGGGGATTGAACCCCAGTCTGTAGCCAGTCACTATAATGATTGAACTATCTGACTAGTGTTTAAGTGAATGCCACACCATATGCAGGCATATGGGGAAGTGGAGGTATAACTCCACACATTCTTAACCTCAGCACTAGAAGGAACCGGCTGGTCACCTTTATGCCCTGACTGCTTTACCCATTGTGTAGGAGGCTGGGTGGGCTCTGAAACAGTCTGGACACAGTGGTGAAGAGAAAGATCGTACCCTGCTGGATATCATGCCTCTACAATATTTGCATAGAAGAAGAAACAGGGTTACATAAGGCAGTCACTTATTATACCCAGAAGTGATTTTAAGTAGTAATTGTTTTTATTTTTATTTGGCATTGTTTCTCACAATCCATATTTCACTTCCAAGACACAAACTTGATTTGAATATAAGATTGTGCAGCGTTAGTGAAATGTTTTGTCTTCTTTGTTTTTTTTTAACGTCTTTCATTAAGAAAATATCATATTGGCCCTTCTGTTGTCCTTATGTATAGCTGAATATTTTGTACAAGTCATGGAAGAATGTAATATATAATTTAAATTTTCTTGTTAATTATCAGGAACTGTGTGTCATTGTTTTGTTATGTGTGACAGATACAATGCAAGATTACCAGTTGTGTCCAGATTTAAATTTTTTATATCTGATAATATAAAATGAAGCAAAGGAAGCGAGAAAATGGAAAAATAGAGCTTGTCATGTTGACACTGCTGCTTTTGTATAAAAGTTCAAAACAACTCTGCTGTCTGTATTCCTAGACAATGTGGACTCTCATCATGAAAGTTAGCGGATCATTCAAAACAGATCAGGGATAGGTATTTGTGCCTGCAGTGGACAAGACATTTAGCAACAGCCTAATTTCTTTGCTCAGCTTGGAGGTTGTGTTAAATTATTCTTACCGCTTTTTACCTTATACGTAGTGAATTTATATACAGCCTTCTCTTTTATTTGTAATATTTATGGTGGCAGCAGCTAATGTGCACGTGATGTTTGCAGAGGTTCCTCAGAAATGTAGGCAGTTCCTGCTACCAGCAGACTGCGGGGACAGGTTGGACCATGGGACTGCGGGAAATTGTTACATGGTAAGGAGTCGTTACCCTTTCCAAATGAAATATGTCTCCAAACAGTTTCTACAAGTGAGATTTTAGTTCATTTTCAGGACTGAACTGAGGAATGTGAGAAAGTGAGTGGTTTATATTAGGGTTAAGTGAATAATCAGATGACAGGGATTGGTCAATTAGAGCCATTGCATGAGGAGGGGTCTAGCTCTGCGTGCCAAAATAGATAGCCGAGGACTCTTAATGGCTGGACGGTGGTGATCATGCGTTCAATTACAAGTTTGTGTGACTTGTCTTCCTGAAAACTGTGTGACCCAAGGAGCTGTTGGGTCTTCTGTAGATATCAATGTCCAGGAAGGGGACATGACCATCTTTCTCTTTCTGGATGTCGCTGTGTGTGCTGATGTGATAGTCAAAGAAGTTATCGAGCTTTCTAGTCCATTGGGCAAATCAAAATACATCATTAATGTTCTGGACCCTGCAGTGATGCTTGTAGGCTGCTCTACTGAGAGCCTGTCCTCGAAGTCTCCCATGAGGTTGGCAGTCTGTGTTTACAGCAGCAAGCCTATGGCTACCCCATTTATTCTTTTGTACAGCTGGCTGTTGAAGTAGAGAAAGAAAATCAGGATGTGGTGAAAAAGTCTGATGATGTCACCATCAAAAGCCAGCCCGGCGGATTCAGAGTATCCACAGTTGGCAGCGTTTTGAAGATTGAGATCGTGTCGAAGCTGACAAGAATGTCTGAGGTGTTGTCGAGGTTTCAGAATTTATTTTATGGTGAGGTGAGTTGACCAGACTTGGTCCCAACAGGCCGGCTAGGTGTCTTGCAAGGCCACTAGTGGGAGCCCCAGCAGTAATGATAATGCCTCACAGGGGTACTCCTTCCCTATATATTTTTGAGAGCCCATAATTTATGGATGGCATCAAACTGTGTTGTGGCAGTCTTTCATCAACCTTGTTTGTAAGGGAGAACTTCTTGATAAGAAGCACGATTCTCCATTCTGTAGCAAATGTGGAGTCTTTGGACAGTTTTCTGTGTGCTGGATCTTGCAGAGAAGCAGTGATCTTCTGAGTTTAGTAATAAATGTCAAGGATGACTGGATCAATGTCCTTGTCTGCTGGCAGGATTTAAGATCAGTACCCATTAACATGTGGTGAGCTCATCTTTCTTCTGTGGCTAGATTGGCTCAGGGCTCCCTACATTGAGGATTCTCACAGTATTCTGTCAGACCTCATATGCAGCGTTGTTTGAAACTGAGAAGAGAAGATGGCTTTCGTAGCCTCAGTCAGGATCTCTGGAGTCTGCAGTACTGCATGAGACACAACATAGTTAAGGCCTTTGGACAGGGCTGAGAGCATCACATCATTTAACAAGTCACGTAACTTCATTGCAGCCTTCTTACGTAACTTTTGGATTAGGCTTTTGATAGTTTTTGAATAACCTGACAATTATATTCCAAGTTGTCACTGAAAGACAGCATGAGGACTGAACTTTCAAGGCCTTTTGGCCCCTCAAATGCCAATGCAGAGAGTTATATGAATCAACTTTTCACACCGTTTCCATTCAACAACACTGTAGGCATGGAAACTGCGTACATGATTTTTTTTTTTTTTGCCCAAACCTGACTTTGCTCAATAACTCCTATTCGAACCTTAATTTTCATTTGGCTCAGTGTCTATTTGTCAGTGTTACCAGCTGAGAATTTGAACTGCTATATCGTACTGCCAAAACAAGGCATCCAGGTAAGTGACCAGTCCCATTGTCTTGATTATTTTTGTTCTCCTGCCGCTGTTTTAAGCTCACCCCAACTCCTTACCTGCATTGTGACATGATGCTGTGTGGACCATAGTGTAGCGTAGAGGTGAGTGTACTTGTTTCGGAAACACACGCTTTCACCTGGTAACAGCCTGTTTTATTCTGCAGATCAAAAGAAGAGCTGTGTGGATTCTTGTCAGGTTTTAATGTTGTGACCTGCACATTGTGCTTCTCTGTGCATCTTAAATAAAGTGTTATACTTATCTTCAGTAGAGGAATTGTGAATTCTGTCACACTTATCTTTATGCTGCAGTCTGTTATCTCTGGTTAGGATTTGTGTTTTATCACCTTGAAAACAACTCTTTCTTAATCACAGATGTACTCTAGATTACAGGCAGTTTTATTCAGTGCAGTAAAATGAAATTTCGGTATGGTTCGCTCCAGGTATCAGAAAAAAATTGGTACCTATGATAAACAACAGTGGGAAAAAACAATTGAGCAGCGGATCCTTCATGGTCTCACCCATGTTCCCAAGAAAACGGCCAAGCTGAAGACTGAGCTCATTGATGTCGATCTGGTTCGAGGTACGTTGCATTCTCTGTGAACTTATGGAGTGAACACGGTGAATGAGAGCAGTCCTTTCAAGTTTTGTCCTAGCTATAGTCCAGCCCATCTAAGCATAGATTTCACTGTCATAATGGTAGTACAATTTTGCAGTAGCTGTCACAAAATTAGATGTACCAACACTGCAACCAAATTGTGCAGTGTTGCAGCTATAACTGCAGTGTCCAGTCTGCTTCAGTGGAGTTGAATATTTTTTGAGACTCATAACTTCAACCAGCTCTAATATTTTTACTTAAAATGCACTTGGTGAGAATGTATCTTACCAAATGCGGCCAAGTTGATAGCATTCCTTCGTATTCTCGATGTCCTAGGTTCAAATCTCAGTCCAGCAGCCAGCAATACTGACAGGTTTTTCATGGTTTTTGTCAGTCCTTCCAGGCAAATGCCAGGATAGTACCTTAAATTGGACGATTTTGAAGCTGCCACTGGACTCACTGGTTGTCATATGTAACACGTCATTCGTAATTGTATGTCCTTCATTTTACCAACTTTTGTTGCAGTTAAAGAAAAACTTTAAGAATTTTGCCTAATATTCTCGTTGTAAATTGTGAAGCCAGCATTATGTTAATATGGAATACTTTTGTGTGTTTTAACTTATATCAGAAACATGTCTTGAAGTAGTGGCTTTATGGTGTTGCCTGTGACATGTTTTTTAACACTGAATTTTGCATCATGCTGTAGGGTCATCATTTCCCAAGGCCAAACCGAAGCATGGGCTGTTGACAGTTACTCGATTAGCAGCGCTGAGACTCCTCTTGCTGCCTGTTTACAGTCGTTGGTGGATCCAGCAGACATCTCCCACAATATACGCCCTTCTGCTTCTCATGTATGTGTTACAGCTCATCAGTACAGCACTTTACTGTCGTTACTGCGCCTTTTATACCGAAGAAGACTCAGCTGAGGTAGGTGAGGGCTCCATGTATTGTGTAAAGGGAAATACTATGTTACACATTTTAATTTAAGTTAATGTTAGGTACCTTTTCTTTTGTTTCTGAGTCCCATTACTGGTTAGCACTGAACTGTGTCTGTTCTTTGACTGTAGGTGATGCAATTCAGTTAGTGACATAGTTCAGCGTGTAGTGACTAGATTCTGTTTTCAACGTACTTCATATGTTCGTATGCCAGTAGGTAATTCAAACACTAAGTTTATATTTCTCTCTCGTTTTGGTAGGGGGTATTAATGGATGGTAACAAAAACAGATACTTTTCATAAGTAATGTATTACTTTCATTATGAATTATCATTTTATTTTGGCTAAAAATACTTCTTTCCTAATCTGGTGTTGACATAAAGTTTACGTTCTTCAGATTAATATATGTGGAGGGCATACTATAAAGTAGAAAGTATTTGATTAGAGTATGAAAGATTTGAGGTTTTCACAGCAGTGAGTCTGAAGATGGCTCTCTTCTGGGTTGTTGCACCGTGTAGTCGAGACTAAATTTCATGTTCCTAGAGCCAAGGCAGAAATAATCATTTGTGCCTAAAATTATATATGAATGTATGTGTTTGCACAGTGTTACATGATAGGATGATTGTTCTTAGTACATTGGAAAAAAATGTGGAAGGAAATAATCATGCCCTATTTTGAGATATTATCTTAATGTCGTCCTGGTGAGACTGAGGAGAACCATGATAACCCTTAGTCAGGATAGCTGGTTTGTGTGCTAAAATTTGAAGTCAGGACCTTCTGAATATGAAGCCGTAGTGCTAATCACTTGACTGTGATGTTTATCGAGTCCTGTCAATTGTTTTTAGTGAGCTTCCATCAGATGAGCTCACTGATGTCACTTTCAGTCAGCACTTGTGATCACGCATAGTTTTGTTGCAGCAACATGTGTCTGCTTCGGAGGTGTTGGTACCAGGAGCTATGATGCTGGTTCTCAGCTTGATACACTCACAGATTGTTTCAACGCATACTGGACCAGCAAGGCACCTGACTGGAGCAAAGTCTCGACGAGTGAAACGCACTAAAAGGCGCCTTCTTTTTTCATCTCGTTCACGTACAGTTTGTAAGTGACTTCATTTTCAGGAATTTACGACCTGCAAGAAATTCATGTATCATACTCCAGTATGATGATTGAGTCAGTTCTTTTAGTCATGGGCTAAATTGGATAAAAATTAATGCTCAGTATTTGTTTCACAGGGACCAATTTAAAAGTTAAAAACCGTATCTCAGCTGCAATCTGAATGTTGATAAAATTAATGTTTTCAGTTAACAAACAAAGTAACAGTAATTTTTAACATTAATGTCATGAAAATATATAAAGGAATGCATGAAGTGGCAACTTATATTTTTTATTTTGTAAATGTATTTACTTCATTCTAATCATTTGTAAATATTACTGTTTTCTTCTTAGAAGCCCATTGGAATTCAGTACAAATGATTTATTAATCTTGCACACTTCATTTTCTTTATCCCTTGTGTACTTTAATCTTCTTCTCTTCTTTCTCCCACATTTTTTTCACATCTTTTCTCACTTTCCTTGGCCCATCTCGGATGCTGTGTTTCATTATGTGGTTTACACATCACATTAACTAACCATTTACTTCAATTTACCACATGTTTTTCATAAGTAACTTCACAAAGTCACAATAAACAGAATTTCACTCACATTTCCATTACTTAATATTATACAATATATTTTCTTACTCCATGGAGCTAAATGTTCATTACACATAACTTATTCCATTGGAACTACTATACTTCAAATTTTCCTCTTGTATAAAACATTTTTCTATCTAGGGTCATTTCCAAAAACTTTCATGATATACACGTCTGTTTCATTTATGAGAGAAAGAACCTTTCACTGAAAGGATCAAACTGGTTTTCATTTGATACAGATTTATTGTTTGTCTGAAAATGACTGTCATCTCTGATGAAGTAGAAATTTATGAACATTTGAGAGAGGATATTTGCCCTTATCATCAGGGCTAGCATGATGGAGGAAGTAAAAACCTCTAACATCAGTAAACTACAGACTTCAGGGCACAACATCCCAAAAAACTCATCTTCGTACCGCCAAGAAAACTGCAAGTCTCATGTTTTTTGTTCAAGAAATTAACCCGTGAGCCACATGTAGGAGTCTGGGAGGCTACAGGTTAAGATTTGTGTAGATCAGTTTGTAATGCTGAAGAATGATTTTGAAGTGCGTTTGTGTGTTACAGGCTCTGACTCGAAATCTTCTCCTGATACTGGCTCAGAGAAGGCTACGTCTGTGGGAGAGCTTGGTGGAAGCAAATATAGTAAGAGGGCGCAGTTACGGAGGTAAGGACCACACATTGATTTGTTCCTGTCGAGTTTTTGTGGACAATGTTCAACGAGTAACTTCGTCTTTATCATTGAATTATTTATTATTCATTTTAGGAATTAGGGTTTTCTTATTTTCTTCACGCTGCACCTAATGTTATTAGTCGTCCAGTGCATAATGAAATATTGGACGGCTGTCAGCATTTGACGTATTATGCGCACACTTACACACATACATCCATGTGCACATGCCTGTGTACCCACAGTTGTTTTTGATTTTCGATGCACAGTGAAAATTCATATCATTCAGACTAGGCTGATCAGAACTGAGATTGCCCTCTATTGTTCAGTTCCATGTCAAGAATTATTTTCCCATACGTCACTGTGCTGAGGATTAAATTGTTATTCCTTATCTTTCAGATCCTCTGCAGAGATTGTTCGTAGGCGAGTTGTCGCTTGGGATACTTCTGGAAAAGGAAAGTTTGAGAGTCATCTTGGCCAAGAAGGCGAGAAGGACAGACGTGTCAACTCTGAGGAACAGAGGCAGGCAGCCGGAGGTGTTCCAGCAAATGCAAGGCAACGAGTCAGGTGCATTTTTCAGAATAATATTGCATTGTAATTTTATATAATGAATCTGTTTTCTTGACACTGGGCGTCATATGTTGTATTGATACTCTATGGTAACTAATACAATTGTCAAGGATCTTTCATAGTTAATTATTTAGCTGAAAATTTCTATTATTGTGGAACTGGAATGTTCGTCACCGTCATTACAAAAACACAATCTTGTGGGTTGTAACACTAGGGTTTTCACCATGAAGATGGAGGTGATATGTTCCTCTGAGACCACGTGGTGTCACAACCCAGAAAACCTCATGACAATCTCAAGGGTTAGTTCACAATAAAAGTGCTTTAGTCCAGGTCACAGTCCTGAAATATGTTTCTCTAACAAGGGAATGGGCGTGTCACAAATCGCTTTGTCATGTCAAAACCTGACCTGAAATTTTGGGTAGTTCAGAGCCTATCTAGTAATGACTGCTCACAAAATTTTAGCTGCCAATGCTTGGTGCAAGGGTGTGAAAAAATTGCCAAATTTGGGATGTGGAGTTCAAATTTGCACCACCGTGCTTGTGTTTGGTGTCAGCATGCCTTACAGTGGCGCTGTATTCCCTGGTGTAGATGGCCAAGATAACAAACAGCAACTGGTTGGAACTGCTAGGTCATGTAGATTGCCCCAACAACTTTGATGAGTTTTTAACTGTGGATCAGTTGATCCCAACCACTGAAGCCCAGCAACAAGTTTGTGCATCCCTGACAATGAGCGTGTGGTGTGTGAGGGGGGAAGGGGAGGCGATGCATCCGCTTCCAACGTATTCAGCTCAGGAAGATGTTTTTGTGGCACTGTTGGTGTTGTTGATGGGAAAACTCTGAAAACAGTGGACGACATTCAAGACTTTGTGTCTGATATTGACGATCAGTCTTTGAAGCAAAGATTGATTGAACCAAATTTTAAGAAACAAGTACCCAGTGTTAAGTTTCAACAAGTGAATTGTGCACAGGTTTGAATTTATGTTTTAAGTGTGTTAAATATAGGAGGAGTTGGAATAAAATCTCTTTTGACCTGGTTCTCTCAGTAACTGGTACTCATATCACAATATTACATTGATATTTCTACCCAAAACCACAGGGAAGTCCACAGTAAAAAAAATTGATACTTTTAAGCTGAAATTTTTTGTTCTGGACACTTTAAATTAATCAGGTTTTACTATAGTTTCTGTCTTACGTATTTGTTTGGAGTAAAATCATGTGATTCAACAAGGCTTATCACTGTTGCATGTTTATCTGTAGATTGCAGGTGGTGCCACTGGATAGGAATGCACACGGGCAACGCGAGGCCACGCCTCTTGATGACGATGGCTTTGAGAGTCTGAATGGCAATGGCTCGAGTGAAAATGGCGAGGAAGCGACAGAGGACGCTGAGGAAGCGGGAGGAACACAGTGTAAAATCGCCGAGGATCTCGGTGCACAGAGCAGATCTTCCTTGAACTGGAAGTCATCGGTCCAGGACAGCGGAAACTTTTCTGTCGTGGGCGAGAAGCAGAACGAAAGAAGTCGCTCATCTTTAAACTACAGTAGTCAGTGGTTTGAAGGGTCCCTGCAGAGTGTGAAATTCTCATCATCATATGTTACAATGCCAACATTACAGATCACTCAACACATTGATATTTTAAGGTTTCCTGATGGACAGGAATTAACTGCAGAAAGTGTTTCTCATGTTGGCTGTCTCAAAAATGATACTTTTAGTGATGAAGCATCCACAATTTTAGATCCTATAGAATGTAGTGAAACTAAGTGTAAAGTGCCAACTGGTGATAACATTCAGAAGTTGGTAGTTGATTCATCTGCAGAACATGGTCACAAGAGCAGCCAGAGGAATACGTTAACAAATGAAAGCAAACATACAAGGTTAAGTGACTCATCAGAGGATGAACAGCACACCCCATTCAGAAAATTCAGGATGCAAGACGTGTCCTGCAGGAGTCCTAGTGCTGATTCTGACACAGACATCACGGATGCAGAAATTGGGGATAGATCGCCTCAGGTAACATATTTCTAGTTTACCATTTAATAAACTTATACCAAATGCCATTTGTATTGGCCAAAAGACCAGGTGTCTGAAGTTAGTATTTGTTTCTCTGCATAAACCGTAGGAAAGTACTTTACCTCTTTTTCTGCAAAAGTGTGTTAATCCATATTGCCTTGGCTGGGTAAATAAATCTGAAAAACTTTATTTAATATAATGTTACTGTCTTTACATTTACTCTGAGGTGTAGAGTCTGCAGGGACAAGCGTACCAACATCGTCTTTTACAATCTGTTCATGCCTAAAAGAAGTCTTGGCTACCACGTGAGATCCAGTCTAGTGTAAGAAAACTATAAATATGTGGTTTACAAAAGCACAACCATTATTATACACAGTGCGGCAACTGGAAAACGGGACTGGTGCTGGGAAAAAATGATGGTTCCATGTATGAGCAATCTGAGCATTGTTTATTCAAAGTAGCTTCCTCCTGCATCTACACACAACGATCATGAAGCTACTCGGAGGAATGGCGTATGGCCATGTCTGGAATTCTGTTCAGTACTCTCGTTACAGCCCTTTGAATGGTGTTTACGTCATCAAAATAACAGCCTTTCAGTGGTGCTTTGAGTTTTTGAAACAAGAAGAAGTCACACGGCGCTAAGTCCGGTGGATGCGACAATACAGCCTTATGGCTTGGCGCACTGTCATGCGACAGGAACCATCTACTCGATACTGAGGCCGTACACGACGGATTCTCTGAAGCAAACGTTTCAAAATGTCCAGATAGTAGACAACAGTAGATGGCAGCATCAGTTCATGCCGACAGCCTTTCAGTGGTGCTTTGAGTTTTTGAAACAAGAAGAAGTCACACGGCGCTAAGTCCGGTGGATGCGACAATACAGCCTTATGGCTTGGCGCACTGTCATGCGACAGGAACCATCTACTCGATACTGAGGCCGTACACGACGGATTCTCTGAAGCAAACGTTTCAAAATGTCCAGATAGTAGACAACAGTAGATGGCAGCATCAGTTCATGCCGCATAACACCAGTCCCGTTTTCCAGTTGCCGCACTGTGTACATTGGTATCTGTCGTGTGATGTAACTACTTTACTCATGGTGAATTAGTTTTATTTAATAATTACACAGTGCTACAACTCAGAAAATGGCTGTCTTTATATTCAGTGCTCTGAGAACCTCAAATCCTGCCTAGATCACTTTCATTTGCTTTATAAGGGGAAAACTGGGGATATCTTAACAAAGTGCGTCAGCAGCATTTACTCCCTTCATTGCATGTCTTCTGTTAACAAAGTATTTGTGTCCCCGCCTTACCAGAGGGAAAGACTTCTTGTGCGCCGAAGTGGATCACAGGTGTTACCGCTGTCATGTGGACAGCAGAAGAGGGGGAGACTAGCAGAGAGTAGTTACAACAGCAGTTGTGAGAGTGAAGAGGGCGAAGTGCTTTCGTCACCTGGCACGGGAGGCGGCTGTTGTCCCCTTCTCGCGGAAGGCGCCGCGTCGGCCGGCGAGTGGATCGGAGTCACGACCAACAGCGAGGAATGCAGCTATAGTTCAGAGTTGGAAGAGTCAGACAGTCAACAGGAGTGTAATGTTCGGGACAGCATCGAGCTCAACGATCATCCTTTTGCCTCGGAATTTGAACTGGTGAGTTTACTGTAATAGATATGTAGACTACACTGAACGTTGTGGTTGAGTGGATACCATTTCTGCTTCATATTCAAGAGTCTTTTTCAGCATGGAAACAGTCTTTCCGTGACCGATATTTCTCTTGGATTTTCTTCTTCACTGCAGGCAAATGGTGGGATAGTATAGTATCTTTTTATCCCATAAGTGCTTCCTTCCATCCTATTAAGGGCTCTTAAGTTTTCGTAATCATCACTGTGCCTTCTACCATTTTCATGCATCATCAACATTGCCTCTGTAATCATCTCTCTTGTCTTCTTTAGTGCTCTCTTTGCATGTTGAGCATATGCCACATCATGAGATTTCAGGTTTTCGTAGCAGTTGGTGCGAAGGTCACTGTCTTTTGGGATGTGCTATGTGAACGCATATAGACTGACTTATTCCACGTCCTATAGTCAATCTGACGAACTTTTGGGTACATGGAATGTGTATGTATGACTG